CGCTGCCGGACGCTGCTGGACGCTGCCGGACGCTGCTGGACGCTGCCGGACGCTGCTGGACGCTGCCGGACGCTGCCGGACGCTGCCGGACGCTGCTGGACGCTGCCGGACGCTGCCGGACGCTGCCGGACGCTGCTGGACGCTGCCGGACGCTGCTGGACGCCGCTGGACGCTGCCGGACGCTGCTGGACACTGCTGGACGCTGCCGGACGCTGCTGGACGCTGCCGGACGCTGCCGGAGGCTGCCGGACGCTGTCCGACGCTGCCGGACGCTGCCGGACGCTGCTGGACGCTGTCGGACGCTGCCGGACGCTGCTGGACACTGCTGGACGCTGCCGGACGCTGCTGGACACTGCTGGACGCTGCCGGACGCTGCTGGACGCTGCCGGACGCTGCCGGAGGCTGCCGGACGCTGTCCGACACTGCTGGACGCTGCCGGACGCTGCCGGACGCTGCCGGACGCTGCCGGACGCTGCTGGACGCTGCCAAACGCTGCCAAACGCTGCCGGACGCAATTACGGGCTCACCATAGGCCGTGCTACTTGCAAACTCCTTGCTCCGAGTAGTTGAATCTATAACAACAACAACAACAGCAGGACCAGAGAGTATATTTAAGTATGGGGGGTGTGTATACCCCAAGACGGTATACTCAGGAGGGATATATATACCGAGGCGGGTAACAAGGAAATAAGGCTCTAATTCTTAATGAAGGGGCTCACTCCATAATGTAATCATTAGAGAGGGCAGATGTGGGTATAATTAGCCGTGTGGCCCGTCTACAGGTATGGCTCCGCGCGGAGACGGACCCGCGGGTCGTAAATCATTAATTTGATTTACCTAAAATTGGGGAGGAGGGAGAGTGGGCAGGGGGGTTGGGTGGAGGAGATAGGGAAGGGAAGGGGGCGAGGGGGGATCCCACAACCAGGCCTGTGACATCAACAACAACAGATACACGGGCTTACAGTAGATACACTAACTTCAAGACTCACCACAACTAGAACAACAATATGTCCCTTAACACAACCTTTTAGACCTGGGCACCATAGTTATGTTGTGAGTCACTCTCACTCTCTCTCTCTCTCTCTCTCTCTCTCTCTCTCTCTCTCTCTCTCTCTCTCTCTCTCTCTCTCTCTCTCTCTCTCTCTCTCTCTCTCTCTCTCTCTCTCTCTTTACTTCTACCTCTACCCTCCTCCCTCACCACCCCAGGCAGGGGTCCAGATCACAGAACGACCCAGTATAGATTATTTACTCCTTCACGGGATATCTTCAGAACACAACTGTGAATAACCTCCTCCGGCGAATCATTAAATCCTTCCATAGCAGGAATAGACTCCTCCTTGAGCAGGATTAGACTCCTCCTTGAGCAGGATTAGACGCCTCCTTGAGCAGGATTAGACTCCTCCTTGTGCAGGATTAGACTCCTCCTTAAGGAGGATTAGACTCCCCGTGTTGTTTACAGGCCTATGGTGACATGGAGGATGAGTTACAACTCGGGGAATATACTGGAACATTTGCAACTTTCTATATAAGCTTCATATAGTTATAAGCTTCACATATATTTGTATTCACACGAAGGAAAAGGAGGGTTTGGTATACATGTGTTTGGAGACCAGACAGAGATAACGGTGGGTGGGGGGTGTAGGGGGGGTGTAGGGGGGTGTGGGGGGTGTAGGGGAGTGTTGGGGGTATAGGGGGGGGGGGAAGAGAATGGGTAGAAGGTAAGGTAATTTTCAGGAGAAAGTACTAGGGCCATTATGACTTATTTCGCACTTGGAAGGGATAAGAGGATAAGGATGTAGTATAGGACAGAGGGAAGGAATGGCGCCTAACCACTTGGATGGTCGGGGGATTGAACGCCGACCTGCGAGATAGAAGAGAATAGCAATTTGAGAAAGAGAGAGAGAGAGAGAGAGGGGGGATGGAAGGAAGAAGGTGTGGGGGAGTGGGAGATGGAAAAGAGATAAAAGAACGATGGGAGAGGGATAGAGTGAATGTTGGAGGCTGGTTCTGAATTCCGTTCCATGAGGAACGTCTTCCTTCCAAGCGCAGGGTTATTAAGGGGGATGGAAATTCCCCCCCCCCTCCCCCCTTACAACTCCCACAACTCTTAACTAACACTAGCGCTGCCTGACTAACATCCCCCTAGTTGTGTAGCCATGTGAAAACTGAAGAGAATGATGGGATGACTGCATCTTCCTAGACTGTCAGAAAGCACTCGACACAGTCCCGAATTTGAGAATATTATCCTAACTCGAGGGAAAAGTCAAACATAACTGAGCAATTACTCGGGGGGGGGGGGGGGGTTAGGAAGCGAGTAAGGGAGATAGGAATAAGGGAAGGTTATTAAGGCCACCACAATACCTTATACTGACCAACCAACAAGTACATGCTCTATCCCTGAACAAAATTTGAAAACATCCTGAGTTACTTTACAATTTATTGATATATTTCAGTTTTGTTTTATTAGTTTTATAAAACTGTAATATCAATGTAGCTATAGGTTAAGTACTAATTGTAATTAAAAAGCAATAAAATGCTTATCTTCAAACACTAAGAGGGTTAGGTTAGGTCGTGGATTTCTTTTCAGCTTTTCAGATAAACTCAAATATTCACAATATATTTGAAAGGAAGGTTTAATACTAAGTGAAAATAAGTACAATTCCTTACTGCTATGAATAGTACATTATTGCACTTACCTGTGCTATTACATTTACCTCCCCATTTTTGGAGTACGGGCTGCTTGTATCACCTGGACCTGGATTCACGAAGCAGTTACGCAAGTACTTACGAACCTGTTCATCTCTCCTCAACCTTTGGCGGCTTTGTTTACAATTATTAAACAGTTAATGAGCTCGGAAGCACCAGGAGGCTGTTTATAACAATAACAACAGTTGATTGGGAAGCTTTCACGCTTGTAAACTGTTTAATAATTGTAACCAAAGCTCTCAAAGATTGAGGAAAGATGTACACGTTCGTAAGCATGTTGTTGTTATAGATTCAGCTACTCGGAACAAGTTCCAAGTAGCACGGGCTATGATGAGCCCGTAGTGGACTTACCTGGCACAGGAGCGGGGCAAGTAGCACGGGCTATGGTGAGCCCGTAGTGGACTTACCTGACACAGGAGCGGGGCAAGTAGCACGGGCTATGGTGAGCCCGTAGTGGACTTACCTGGCACAGGAGCGGGGCTGTGCGCCGTGCGTAAAATACTTGCATAACATCTTTATAACTCCGGGTCTCCGCATGCGCCTTTATAAACCTCATGGGACTGATGTCGTGAAGGCAACGCTGCCGAGGTAAACATTACCTATCACATTGTCTGCCACTTTACGGGGGGAACTTAAATAAAACAAAAAAGAAAACGAGGTTAATTTTCACTCCATAACAGTTTGTGATGGCGTTTAAGGCGATTACACAATGGGATATATATATAAAAGGGAACCTTCCCGTCCCTTCGAGCATAACGAACGACTTCGCTAATGTTATACGTGTTTTTATAAGGCTGGTGGAGCAAGGGGGAGATGAGGTTAGGTTTGTTGTATCGGTATTATGGGTTATTTAGCGTCCATGATTACGGAAATTATCGGTGATCTGTAATGAAATGGAATGCCAGATGCTGGATGCTGTTCCTGTTATTGGTGTTCCTTTTTTTGTGTGTGTTGGCTTGTTTCGCCTGTTGTTATTGAGGTTTAAGCTGTTAAACTGGCAATTCTCCCTCCTCTGTTAGACTGGCAGTTCTCTTCTGCTTCGTCTGTGTATGGTTAAACTTTTGTCCGTTTTTGCGTTGTTATTGGTCAAAAATAAACTCGTCTGGGACTCTAAAACAGCCGTTCTCTCTGCAAATTTCTTACAAGACTCATCCACACACCCTTAACTCACGCCTTAATTCCCCCTTAGCTCATCTTTATCTCACCCTTAACATTATACACAAGTGAAGAAGTTTGCGCTCTCTAGGGTGGGCACAGAAACATCTTTTGACTCCCGTTAAGAGGCTGAGTGCGTTCCCCTTCACTTAGCTCAGAGTAAGACTGAGTCTATTAATTTTTCCCCCTGGAACACAACCCGGCAAGCCGTTTTACTACCAGATCCCCCAATTACTGCTGGGTGAAAAGGGAGCGAGCAGTTATATGGGTTGGTTCCCAGTCAATCATCCTCGTTTTTTTTTCACAGGGTGAGTTAGCATATCGTGTGTATGTGTGTGTGTGTGTGTGTGTGTGTGTGTGTGTGTGTGTGTGTGTGTGTGTGTGTGTGTGTGTGTGTGTGTGTGTGTGTGCGTGTGTGCGTGTCACCCTACCAGGTTAACTACTGACCAACGCCAGGGTGCGTCTGGGGGCTGGTACTCCCAGGTACCTAGTTACTGCTGGGTGAACAGATGCATGAGGTGAAAGGAAACGCTGCTATTTTGCTTCGGCTCCGGTCGGGAATCGAACCCGGGGTCTTACGGCTGAAAAGCTATGTCGGTCACTGCATTTTCAATGAGCCTCTCTCTCTCTCTCCCTCTCTCTCTCTCTCTCTCTCTCTCTCTCTCTCTCTCTCTCTCTCTCTCTCTCTCTCTCTCTCTCTCTCTCTCTCTCTCTCTCTCTCTCTCTCTCTCTCCGTCCCATCTCACCATGCACTTCCTGTCATATCATTGTAATATCCTGTCAGTGGACGGAATTAGGTGGAAGGGAGTTAAAGAGAGGGAGGGAGGGAGAGGGAGAGGGGGGAGGGGTGATTGTAGGGAAGGAGTTAGAGGGAAAGGTTCAGAAGGAAGGAGATAGAATTGATATAGAGAGAAGGAGGGAGAGAGAGAGAGAGAGAGAGAGAGAGAGAGAGAGAGAGAGAGAGAGAGAGAGAGAGAGAGAGAGAGAGAGAGAGAGAGAGCAAGAAAGGGAGGGAGGGAGGGAGGGAGTGAGAGAGAGAGAGGGAGCAAGAAAGGGAGGGAGGGAGGGAATGAGAGAGGGAGGGAAGAAGAAGATAACCAATAAATAAAGTCCATGATTACCATTCCCGAGCGGATACAATGACACCCATTTCTCCTGATATCCTTTTAATTGGGGCAAGATACGCGCCTCGTAATTGGATTTATGTGTGGAGCGGTTACCTGCGGCGCGGCGCCGGAAGTTGCAAGCGTGCAACCTGGCTGCTGATGTCCAGGACCCTCCGTGGCGGCCCGGTGGTGTCCAGGACCCTCCGTGGCGCCCCGGCGGCGGTCAGGACCCTCCGTGGCGCCCCGGCGGCGGTCAGGACCCTCCGTGGCGCCCCGGCGGCGGTCAGGACCCTCCGTGGCGCCCCGGCGGCGGTCAGGACCCTCCGTGGCTCCCACAGCACTACCCAGGACCCTCCGTGGCGCCACAGCACTACCCAGGACCCTCCGTGGCGCCCACAGCACTACCCAGGACCCTCCGTGGCGGCCCGGTGGTGTCCAGGACCCTCCGTGGCGCCCCGGCGGCGGTCAGGACCCTCCGTGGCGCCCCGGCGGCGGTCAGGACCCTCCGTGGCGCCCACAGCACTACCCAGGACCCTCCGTGGCGCCCACAGCACTACCCAGGACCCTCCGTGGCGGCCCGGTGGTGTCCAGGACCCTCCGTGGCGCCCCGGCGGCGGTCAGGACCCTCCGTGGCGCCCCGGCGGCGGTCAGGACCCTCCGTGGCGCCCACAGCACTACCCAGGACCCTCCGTGGCGCCACAGCACTACCCAGGACCCTCCGTGGCGCCCTGGTGGCGGTCAGGACCCTCCGTGGCGCCCTGGTGGCGGTCAGGACCCTCCGTGGCGCCACAGCACAAGATTTACTCCCATCTCTGAGATAAGGATCTCGGCAATTTGCTGATTAGAGCCTGACTCGTGTAGGAGGTGTGATGAATATCCGGTAGTTTGTTGGTGGGGCGGGATAGGGGATAGTGGGGAGGGACTGGGATAGGGAGGGGGGGATTTTATGATGAGGGGGTGCTGTTAGTGGGGAGGATAGGTAAGTGGAGAGGTGGGGAATATGGAGTGGTGGTGGGGGTGATAGAGGTTGGGGAGAAAGGGAAGGAGGGGGAGATTTCACGTGTGGGATGGAGGATAGCGTGGGAATGGATGGTGAATGGGTTGGGGGAGGTGGGAGATAGGTGGTGGGAATAGGGTGGTAGAGGAGGGGGGGGGGGGTTATAGGTGAGGGGGTTATAGGTGGGGGGTTATAGGGGGGGTTATATGTGAGGGGGTTATAGGTGGGGGGGTTATAGGGGGGGTTATAGGTGGGGGGGGGGTAGGCTGGAGATGTTGGCGAGTAATGTGTGCTGGTGGTGGTTGTAGGTTGTTATAACTGAAGGTTATCATAACTACAGTGACAATAAAATATAACTTGCGAACATCTGATAGTTATGATCCCACTGAGCCTGGGTGCAGTTGTTAAGGCACCAGTAGTTAAGGTAGTTACCATAACTACTAGACTACAAATAGTCCTAGTGATAACAGTAGTCTTTCCAACAGTAACAGTAACTATATCCTCTGTTGTAAACACAACAGAAAAAAGTAACAACAGAATAAACAAAACAGAGATCGACAATAGCCTCAAGTTTGCCCCCCCCCCCTTGTACTTAACATGAATGAATCGTGTCAGCAAATAAAGCCCAAACGTCTCGATAAGACGTCCAATATCAGGGCCTCCCCGTCTTCAAGACCAGGTGACGGGAGCTATCAGTTCCTTACCTGCCATAGGTCACATAAGAAAGTTAATTACCTGTCTTTCTGACCCCTTGTCTTCGTAAACAATGGTGGTAGTAGTCGTAGTAGTAGTAGTAGTAGTAGTAGTAGTAGTAGTAGTAGTAGTAGTAGTAGTAGTAGTAGTAGTAGAAAGAGAGAGTAGATGTAGAATAATAACACAAAGATGAACAAAAGCCGATTAAAAGAGACTTAAGATCAAGTGGCAGAATCTGGGAAACAGAGCTTACAAACACAGAAGAAAACCTGAGACATAGAAAAAACAGTGATCAAACAAATGACACAGACTGCAAAGCCTGAGGAACAAAGACAGCCAGACAAAGAATCACCCGAAACTAAGCAATTCTGTTGAAAAATCACTGACAAAGACAAGTGAATGTACTGATGTTCTCTCTCACCCTTCAGGAGACAAATGCTATACCTATCTTGAGGTTATCTTGAGATGATTTCGGGACTTTTTAGTGTCCCCGCGGCCCGGTCCTCGACCAGGCCTCCACCCCCAGGAAGCAGCCCGTGACAGCTGACTAACTCCCAGGTACCTATTTACTGCTAGGTAACAGGGGCATTCAGGGTAAAAGAAACTTTGCCCATTTGTTTCTGCCTCGTGCCGGAATCGAACCCGCGCCACAGAATTACGAATCCTGCACGCTATCCACCAGGCTACGAGGCCCCCTACCTATCCCATCCCCATCCCATCCCGTTCCTTTTCCCTCTCGTTCACCCCTTCCCTTCCATACCCTCACATTCCCCATTCCTCCACTGGAGTCTAATAGGTTAACTGGGGGCAGAAGATGTAATGTGAAAAGGTATAGGGAGCCGGTCGGCCGAGCGGACAGCACGCTGGGCTTGTGATCCTGTGGTCCTGGGTTCGATCCCAGGTGCCGGCGAGAAACAATGGGCAGAGTTTCTTTCGCCCTATGCCCCCTGTTACCTAGCAGTAAAATAGGTACCTGGGTGTTAGTCAGCTGTCACGGGCTGCTTCCTGGGGGTGGAGGCCTGGTCGAGGACCGGGCCGCGGGGACACTAAAGCCCCGAAATCATCTCAAGATAATCTCAAGATAATCTATCTTGGCTGAGTATAGACATTATTATTTTCCCAGGATTTTTTATCATTTGTCAAGGACACAAATGACAAAGTGCAAATCCTGTCGCCTGCGTCAGGAAACGGACCCAAACGTTTCCTTCTGGCGCTGTTGTGAGGCATAGCGGTCAAAGGGGGGGTCTGACGGCTGAGTGGACAGCGCTCGGGATTCGTAGTCCTAAGGTTAAGGGTTCGATCTCCGGTGGAGGCGGAACAAATGGGCAGAGTTTCTTTCACCTTTGATGCGTCTGTTCGCCTAGCAGTAAATAGGTACCTGGGAGTTAGACAGCTGCTATGGGCTGCTTCCTGGGGGGGGGGGCGGGTATAACAAATAGGAGGCCTGGTCGAGGACCGGGCCGCGGGGACACTAAGGCCCGAAATCATCTCAAGATAACCTCAAGAAGCGGTAACAGCTATGTCACTGAACGCCCATCAGGATATCCGAGTGTCGATATCTAAGTGCCATGACTACAATGTTATCTGACTGTCATTTTAAATAAAACACTAAGATAACATAACAATTAACATCCTCACTAAACAAACACAAGACACCAACCCTCATAACTTTTTTATTGAAATTTCACCTCTACAGTCTTTTATTGACACTAGTTCGGTGTGTGTAAACAGTGCTAAACACGCGAGTGAGAGTTAATTAGAGGCAAACTCCCCCTTCCTGATCAAGGAAAATTAGAGGATTTTCTGTTGAAAAAGTTTGTAAGTTCTTTAAGGGATTATTTCCTCGAGGCAAAAATATTAACATGCAATGAGGACAATATTTATGTTCATTGATTGTAGACTGTGCGAGTGTCAGAGAGTGCCAGCAAGTGCCAGCGAGTGCCAGCAAGTGCAGGTTCCCGGTGCATTGAGTGGATGAGAGATAATATATATATTTGCATACTGTTTTCTGACTTGGCGAAGTGTTTTCTGACTTCGCGAACTGTTTTCTGACTTGGCGAAGTGTTTTCTGACTTCGCGAACTGTTTTCTGACTTGGCGAAGTGTTTTCTGACTTGGCGAAGTCTTCTCTGACTTGGCGAAGTGTCTTCTGACTTGGCGAAGTGTCTTCTGACTTGGCGAAGTGTCTTCTGACTTGGCGAAGTGTCTTCTGACTTGGCGAAGTGTTTTCTGACTTCGCGAAGTGTTTTCTGACTTCGCGAACTGTTTTCTAATTTGGCGAACTGCTTATGCAGGTGTGGGTTTATATTTCGGGTGTTTAATAATGACAGTGTTGTACACATAAACCAAATGTGTTGTCATTTTCTCAACACCTAAACCCTGGGTTTAGCTAGAAACACGTTAGATGGAGATTGTAGACTTTTTTTTAATGGAACTGTAACCAGGTGTCACCGGATGTCTTCATTAGGTTCTGTAACATTAATGGGGAAATAATTGTACCTAAGCTTGAATTGTGCTGGAAACTTTGGAGGGAGGTTATCTTGAGGTTATCTTGAGATGATTTCGGGGCTTTTAGTGTCCCCGCGGCCCGGTCCTCGACCAGGCCTCCACCCCCAGGAAGCAGCCCGTGACAGCTGACTAACACCCAGGTACCTATTTTACTGCTAGGTAACAGGGGCATTCAGGGTGAAAGAAACTTTTGCCCATTTTTTCTGCCTCGTGCGGGAATCGAACCCGGGAGTTCGGGAGATGGAAGTGGGGGGATATTTTTTGAGTCTTCCTTCTAATTCCTGATTTTCATCCTTCGAGATTTTACGATTCTTTTTTTTCAGAAGTTTAAAATATCATAAATCCGCAAATATTGGTCCGATGCTGAATTTACCTGAGAGAGGCCACTATCTGTCTCTAGTGGCCTCGATGATAATGATAGGAAGTCTGCGGCTTGTCAAAGGTCCCCCTAATTTGTCCTGATGATTTTATCAAGCCTAATCTTGAATAGCAGCATTGTTTTTGGCATTTACAGCTTCGGCGGGTAGGCGGTTCCATGTTGGAAAAAGCACCTGTTTTCTGTCCTACATTGTGCCTTATTGAGATGTAAACCATTGCTCCTTTTTTTAAAAGGTCAGAAGTACCATTTACCTCGTGTAAAAACTTATCCATCTCAATTTAGATCTTATCTCCTTATATTAAAAATAAACAGGGAAATAAATCCTTTCTGACAGAAAGCTCTTCCTAAAATAACGAAATCTGGAAATAGAGTATTCGAGGCGTGGCGACTGGTAGTGTTAGACCACAAGAACCATCCATAACTCTCCCTCGCCGCCCCTCGCCAGGCGAAGAGTCCCCCCAGCGTGAGAAGACATACACTGCCATTTGTCTTGTGTCCTGAATACGCCGCGACGGTCCTCCAGCCGCGAAAATGTTCCCTGGAACCTTGCAGTTCGAATTCCTCGTCGCCTTGCGGCTGTCCTCCCCCCGCCTTGCTGTCTTATTGTCGAGCAGCCTGCTGGTCCACGCCCATTGGTTTCCTAGAGTCCTCTCTCCCCTCTCTCTCTCTCTCTCTCATCTCTCTCGTCTCCCTCCTCTCTCTCTCTATCGTCTCTCTCTCTCTCTCTCTCTCTCTCCTCTCTCTCTCTCTCCTCTCATCTCTCTCTCTCTTCTCTCATCTCTCTCTCCCTCGCTCATCGCCTCTCCTCTCTCTCTCTTCCTCGTCTCCCTCTCTCTCTCTCTCGATCTCTCCGCTCTCTCTCCCGTCTCTCTCTCTCTCTCTCTCTCTCCTCTCTCTCTCTCTCCTCTTCCCATCCTCTCTCTCATCTCTCCCTCTCTCTCTCGCTCTCCTCTCTCCCCTCTCTCTCTCTCTCTCTCCTCTCTCTTTCAGACTTACAGAGATCTATATTTGTCGACGTGTCAACGATGCAATTAAAGTCCCCTCGCAAACTACCCTCCAACCTTCTCTACTACTAATACATTCTAAAGCCCGTCAAGTACCCCCCCCCCACTACCCCCTCTCTCTAGAGGGGAGAGGGGGGGGGAAGTGAGCAAGTAAACTATTAACCTTTTGATTCATAGTTTACAAGATGCATTAAAATCATTATAATTAATCACAATACACAGCAAAAAAAAAAGTC